AATCGATGGCTTAGTATCTCATATCTTAATTAGCTTTATTTTAATTATTATTTTCTTTTTATTATTTTTAATTAAAGTTTCTTTTTTTTTTTATTGTTCAAATAAATTTAGAATAATTATTTTTTATACTTAGTTAATCATAATCCTCATGAGTTCGATATTCTTCTCATCATTATATTACTTGGAGCGACTAATACACCTGCTAAAGTGCTTGTAGTGCATCAAGTACTTTGATATAGAATGACCTCATCCAATTAGAGCTATTAGAGACTAATTTTAATAGAGAATCTACTTGTTCTTTTTTGACTCTTGGTATTTTGGTCAATCAAAATCTCTCAAATTGGCTTTTTAGTTTTGAAATCATAGCTGCATATTTTACTAAGATGGGCTCACCTATTTCATACATCAAGTTCACTTGATTCACCAGCAATTGGGAATCACTATATATTTAGATTATTTTGACATTAAGCTTAGTTGCTAGTTGAAATCCAAGCAGCAATGCTTCATACTCACCCATGTTATTAATTGTTTCAAAGTTAAATTTTAAAGCATGTTCACTTTGGAACCCGTCTGGACTGATTAATATAGCTTCGGCTCTTGAACCTTTGTAGTTAGATGCCCTATCCATATATAAAGTCTATGTGTCTAACATGAGAGCAGAACTTGGTTGACTGCAAGTGCACTCGACAACAAAATCTGCTATTGCTTAAGCTTAAATTGTGGACTTCTGCAAGAATGTTATCTCAAACTTTCCCAACTCAACAACCCATTTAATTAGCTCGCCTGAACACTTTAGTTTTTGGAGAATTGGCCTAAGAGGTTGTTCTGTAAGTATGATATTGGGGTGCAATTGGAAGTACGACCTCAATTCTCGAGCTAAGGTAATAATCGCAAGAACTACCTTTTTAGCTATTAGATATCTTTACTCAGCCTCCTGTAAGACTTTGCTAGTACACAAGCTTTTGTTACTTTCCTTCTTCCCTTACCAACATAGAACTTATTATTTGATTTGAAATTCCAAGGTACAAATAAAGGATCTCACCATCAAGAGCTTTAGTCAATAGAGGTGGTAATCTAAGATAGACTTAAGCTCATCAAAATCCTTCTAGTACTCCAAGCTCCATTTGAATTTCTTTGGCTTTCTTATTTCATCCTCTTGAACTACAAATCTCATGATCTTGAAAAAGGGAAGATTTTTGTTAGTGACTTTAAGACAAATTTGTGAAGAGTTGCCACTTGTCTTGTCAAGTGCTGGATGTCTTTAATAGACTTCGAAGGTTCCATCTCCTCAATGGCTTTGATATTTTTAGGATTGACCTTTATCCCCCTTCTAGAGACCATGAAGCCCAAGAATTTGCCCAATTCTATGCCAAAAGTGCATTTTACAAAGTTTAGCTTCATTCTATTCTTCCTCAAATTATCAAATGTCTCTTTTAGATCAGCTAAATGGTCTTTTGCTTTTAGACTTTTGACCATGATGTCATCTATGTAGACGTCCAAGTTCTTGCCTATTTGAGCTCAGAACGCTATGGTAACCACCTTTTAATATGTAATACTTCCATTTTTAAGACTAAAAGGCATCATCACATAATAATAAATCTCATCTCTCGCATAAAATGAGGTTTTTTCTTTATCCTCAGGGGCCATGGGAACTTGGTGATAATCTAAGTATGCATCTAGGAAACTTAGCCTTTTATTTCCTAGAGCTACTTTGACTAGCTTGTCTATGCTTGGCATTAGATAATAATCCTTCAGACAAGCTCCATTGAGGTTGGTCTAATCAATGCACACCCTTTATTTACCATTTGACTTCTTGACTAGAACAAGATTTGCAACTCATTCACAGTAGTCCACTCTTCATATAAAGTTAGCTCATAGAAGTTTTTCCACCTCTTCTTTAATAACTTGGATCCTTTCACCTCCAAAAATGTGTTTTTTTTTCCTAAGCTACTAGCTTCTTTAGGGGATTTGTGCTCAATCTATGCATAACTACTAAAGTGGGATCCTTGGCATATCAACCAGGGTCCATGCAAACACATCTTTGTTAGATTAGAGAAAATTAATCAAGTCCTCATTCTCTTGGGTATTGAGCATAGTTATGATTTGAGTCTTCCCCCTTGGATCTCTATCATCAATTTGCATCTCTTCTACCTCCTCGGCTAGGGTGGTTTTGACCTCAACTTTAAGTTGATTATTAATCAACTCGACTCCCATCACTTGCTGGTCATTAAGCGCTTGAGGTTTAGATGTCTGATTGATTTCTTTGCTCTTTCGAGGTTGTGATACTGAGGTTATGTAGCAGTGTCAGTTTATTTCTTGTTTCCCTTTCAACATTGCTACACCTATAGGTGTTAAAAACTTCATAAATAGATGAGATTGAGAAACTGCAGGTCAAATCTCAGTTAAAGTTGGATGGCCGATCATGGCATTAAAAGGTAATGTCATCTTTACTACCAAGAATTGAACTGAAAGGGTAACATATGTCCTTCCTTCACCAAATGCCACTATAAGTGTAATCACACCCTCAACCGGGACTTGTTGGTTCTTAAAAGCATAAAAGATTCAAAGTCTGTCACCAAGCCAAGACAATCAATTAGAACATAGGGTTGTATCTGCCATTACCTATCCTAACATCACATTGGGAAGATGTTAGCATGGATTTTGTCCTTGGTCTACCACGAACTCAACAAAGCAAGGATTCTATCATGGTCGTGATTGATAGATTCTCTAAAATGGCTCACTTTATTACCTATCAGAAAACTAATTATGCTTCTCTTATTGCTGAGTCATATTTCAGAGAGATTGTGCGTCTACATGGAGTTCCAAAGACTATTACTTCAGATAGAGATGTGAAGTTTATGAGTCATTTTTGGAGGACTTTATGGTGAAAGATGGTCACTTAACTCTAGTTTAGATCTACCAACCATCCCCAAACTGATGGTCAAACTGAAGCTATCAACAAGATTTTGGGGAATCTATTGCGAAGCTTTGTGGGAAAGAATTTGTGACAATGGGATCTTGTGCTTGCCCAAGTTGAGTTTGCTTACAACAACCCTTCGAATCAAGTTACAAGAAAATGCCCATTCGAAGTAATATATTGAAGGTGTCCTCTTAGTCCTTTAGATCTTACTCCATTGCCCACATCCCAACAATTTAGTGCGGATGCTGAACAATGAGCCAAGGAGATCAAGAAACTTCATGAAGAAGTTTGTGAGAAGCTACAACGTCAAACCATTAGGTATAAGGCTCTTCATGACAAGCACCAAAAAAAGGTTATATATAAGGAAGGAGATTGGGTTTAGATACACCTTCAAAAGGAAAGGTTTCCTAATCGACCTAATGCCAAACTCTACTCTAGAGCAAATGGTCCTTTTCAAATAGTGGAGAAGATCAATGATAATGCCTACAAGATCAAACTTCCGGTGACTATGAAGTCTCTGCTACTTTCAATGTCGCTGATCTATCTCTTTACTATGAGGATCATGAGTATTGATCTCAAACTTGAGGATGAGTTTTCTCCAACCAGGGGAGAATGCACCAGGAGAAAACACCAAGAAAATGTAGTAGGCACGCAGAAGCTACTCTGCAACAACACCAACTACAATAAGCCGATGCAATTGTGTCAAATGGCCACACAAGTCAATGAAAATGGCCAACTCCTAACTACATTCTACTTTTCATTTATTACCTTTTGTTAGATTTCGCCTATAAATAGCCATGTTCTCTTCATTGTATGCATCAAAGTTTTACTCAAGTTTCAATCAAAGTATTTGGGTTAAATCTCCTCTATTTGAGTGAGTTTTGTGAGAGTGGATTTCTCTCAATTTATCTCTATATCTTAGATCTTGCCAACTTAAGTGGTGTTCCAGGCAATCGAATTCATCATAGTGGGATTCTAAATCTCACCAAAATCGGTGTTTTGGTATTGGCTCCTGTGCTAGGAATGCTTAGCCTTTGGATTCTTAACCAATTGAACTTGGGCCTCATTGGCGATGTATAAGGGCATTGTTACTATTCCTTCCAGTTGCTTTCTTAATACAAGTTCTCCAACCTTACTATTCATTTTCTAATTATATAAGAGCGTGATGGGTAAGCAATGCCCCCAAAAGTGTTGTTTTTCTGCCTCAGGAAACTGCTACCAGCCTACCAAGTTGGTTAGTCCTCCACAATTCATAACCATAGGAAATACAGTGTCTACAATGCCACTTACCATCAGTGTAATGGCTCTAATCTCCACAACCATATCAGGTTACAACTTAATCACATAATGTTTTAGGAACATATATAAATATTTAAAATCTGATCCGTTGGACTTTAACTATAGAAAATAAAATGGATTTCAATTCATTACAAATTTCTATTTCAATTTATTACAAATTTATATCTTTAGAACACAATAATCTGATCAAGAAGCCTTGATCACCCTAATAATTGCACACAGAACAAAATAAATTAAAAAGGAAGCAAAAACAGAGCATATGAGGCTACATTAAGTAAAAAAAGAGCACACAACATGGTAACCATCCATCCTTTCTTCGTTCCGAACCGCCTTCTCCATTTTAAGCTCAAGCGAACTCTCATTCTGCATTTCATGTCTATTCTCCTGTGAAAGATGTCTTGGCGAAAAGTTGAGGTATAAATCTCAACAAGAAGAGGAGATTGCAGCAATATAAACAAAGTGACAGGAATAGTGGCAAGAGATATCATTGAAATTTCAATCATTGAAATTACTTTCTCCTCTCTATGACGTAGCATCATGTGAAGAGTAGCACAAAATGCTACCATCAATGCTACAATAGAGATGAAGAGCGAAGAAAGGCCAATGATCAACTTAATTGGTAAGGACATATGGAAATCTTCACAAGCATAACGAGAAGTGAGAATCCCCATAAACATTAGCACTGAACTAGATGCAGCGAAAAGAGAAATTGAATCTGATACTATAAATACCATGAACGGTGTAACCGCTGTTGTATTAGAAGACGTGCTCAAAAATATGGGGCGGCCTGTGCTTTGATCGTTTCCGCCAGGAACAGTAAAAACCGCGGCAAACATAATGGTAATAACAAGAGCACCTACGACTGTACAAGATTCTGCCACTTTTTTCATCCATCCTTCGGCCTCTTTTAGCAAATCCTTGTGTTCTCTATGAAGCACTTGGGTAGGAGTTTCACCATCTTTATTTTTCTGTGTGTTGTAGAACCATGGAACAATGCCTTCCACTGACTGCATTTGTTTCATAAATTACAAATATTAACTAAGACACTATTAATTAATTTGAAATAACAAACAAAGCTAAAAGATGAGATTACCTTGAACCAGTGTAGTTCATTTTGCAACCGCAAAGCTGCACCAGAGATGTGATCTAGTTGAGAATGAGGAGCTAATTGTGCAGCTACATGTAATATATTGTTCCCATTTTCATCGGTCGCAGTAACCATATTTGTATCATTCCTTTCAACAAATTCATTATAAAGAAAGAATGCGACTTTCTCTTGACGATGTGCTACAACATGTGCAAACATGTTTCTTGGATCTTCGGGATCTGTTTTGCTCCATAATATATTACCATTAGGTTTTTTTAATAATTCAATTGCAATCTCAGGGATGCCATTCTTGATAGCGTGAAAGACTGCTTTCATTGCTACACTTTGCTCAAATTGGTTCCAATGTAATTCCAATAATGGCTCACATATGAAACGTATAACCTCAAGGGCATACTCATCCATCAACTTCTGTTTATATATTTGAATTACTGACAATTAAAAACAAAAATCCGTTACATTTACTAAAAATAATCAAGATATAGCACAAAAATGAAGGACAAAAAAATAATTTAAAAAAAAAGAGAAATTGTTGCTTACCAAAGATCAGTAAAGGTATTGAAAACGGTAAAAACAGCGCAAACTGGATAACTGCAATAAGGCCAAAGAAATGAGTACTGCAATGAATTAGTTACATTCAAAATTTAGAAATAACGAGTTTCATCTAAATTTAATCTCTTCAAATATGGTATTGTATGGATTACAACTCAACAAAATGTGCATTATTTGAAGATAAAATAGAAAATGTCCACCGTATATTTTTTCACTGCAAGTTAATTTGCTTGGGATATCTGGGGGAAATGTCCGCGAAGGTTGGGCATTATGAGTGTTAGAGCTTGAAGCTGCTGGGAAGATTTTGAACAACAACTTAATTTGTTTCTGGAAAGGAAAGCGAGGGAAGGATGGTAAATCATTTGGTTTTCTAGTATCTGGACCATATTGCTGTATAGGTGTAAAACTCCTAAATTTTTCGTAGTTTTATTTCGGTACTTAAGGAACTTATAGCCAAAAATTTGCAATTTGAGAACTTATGTTCAAGATGACATGAACCTAAGGACTTATTTGTAAATAAAACAGAAGTTGTGGATTTAGTAAGCCTTTAACGTATAACTTCTCCTCTCTTCTTTTATGTGCGGCAAGATTCCACATTAAAAACAAAAGAAACCCTGGCGGTGGAGAAATTAGCGGCATTTAGGGGAATTTCAACCATTCCATTATTCAATTCAGGTAATTTATCTCCCAAAACTTTAGATTATTGGTAGATTTCATAGAATAGCATAGTATTACTGGTGTGTCTTGACCTGAAAATTTTCCGACGATGCTGCCGTCGCTCCGGTGACTTTGCGTAGGCGACTTTGATATCTACGGAAAGCTCTCGAGTAGATCTTTCATTTGGGAGGGGTGAAACCTTATTTGGTTGAGTGTTGAGTGAGATATTGATTTTTCTTTATTTTCTGGAAATTCTGGAAAGTGGTTTCTGACAGTTTTAAATGGCTGATGGCTTAGTTGAAACGCCAGATAAAAGGCTTTCGGGTGATGTTTTCCTGCAAGGAAAACTTGGCTCCTACAGTCTTTTGTGTAGTCTTTCTCGTGTTACAAATAATTTTCTCATATAATAATTGTATAGATAAAAAAACGCTTTTTAAATTAGCATTGATAATCATGACAGTTCTGGAAAAAGCGTAATTTCCAGCACTTGTGAAAAATCTTTAAACATGTTTTTAGCCTCAAAAATTCATAACTTACATTTAATAATTATCTTCAAACCTTATATTATGTTTTTACAGTTTTTATATGATTTTTTTATTGTAAAAATATTTCTAAATTGAAGTTGTTTTACATATGTTTTCCATTGAATTATTGTAAGATTACATATATATACTTGGTTTTGAGTTTCTTAACTCTTAAATTTGCTTCTAAAGGTTGTGAATCAAAGTTGTTTCCAGATTTTATCTAAGTGATTTACTCTAATATTCAATAATTAGGGATTGGACAATAATTGATACACAACTTGGTTTAACACACTTTATAACACACCTATTAAAAAATTATTGTTTTTAAATTTGAATTTAAAGTGGGAAAATTTTCAACTGTGGATTTTAATTGCTAAATCATTAGGTGTTGGTAAGGGTGTTAAATTGAAAAGTGTACTAATCATTTTTCTTAGGGACTATATTTACTAGTTACAAGGTTTGTAAAATCTTATAACATTCTGTAATAAAACGAGAAACTTGCTCAAAGCTAAATGAGGATTTGTCGCCACTTCCATGGATGTTTTAGGGGCTGCCATGATTGGATTTTTGGATTGTAACTAAGATTGTGGTTTCTCTTGTTTAGGATTGGTTGTGATACTTAGTGTAGTGGTGTGGTGTGATTGTGGAGCAAGAGAGGGAAGTATAAAAGTTTATTTTACTCTTTATATTTTGTCATTTGATTTGGTTTATATGTTTTGAAAATAAAAATATTTTACAATGAAGTGAGATGAAAGTTGATCAAGCGTTCTGGATGTGAAATATTTCATATACTCCTAGATGTGAAATATTTTATACGAGTGTTGTTTATTTAATTGGAAATATTTTGTGTTCCTTGGTTTTCACATTTTTGATTGGCTAAATAATTTAACCTATTCCTTAGGGGTACACTAAGCGTATTTATTGATAATAGAACTGGAATCTATTTATCATATAGAGTGTGATGCAGCCAAAAGAACATAACTAATGTTTTGTAGTGTGGATTGGAATGTGTTTTTCCCTATTCGCTATGCTATTTTATTTTATTTCAATATTTGTCATTTTAGAAGATATATTTGATCATGCTAGATGTGTATACTACTTATTGGGTTATTTAACATAAGTTCTCAAATTTTCATCTCATTTTAGGTGATTAAGGAATGAGCATTGGGTTGCGTGGGGATTGGGAAGCCATTAGAATAATTGACTAGTTTATGGCTTGTAACTTGATTTGAAGGATTATTTTGGATTAAAGGAACTTGGAGATATTGATATTTTATCAATTAGTTTGTTTAGTTAGATCTATGTATTGAGCTTATTAGATTGAGACTGAGTCATTATGACTATGATTTAGAGGTGAAAATTGATTATCCAATTGAGTCAATTACAAGTTAATTGACCTTACACATTTATAGGGTGACCCCTACAAGCATGTGGCGTTTGTCATACTCTTGTGGTTGGGGTATGACAATAGGAACAAGTGTTTGTTCAATGGAAAATGCCTAAAATTGATAGGGTGTTTGAATTATTTAAGTTAGGTCCCTTGAGTGGAGAAAAGAACAAAAATTGGTTAGTGAGTCTTATGGATTGGATTTTGAACCCCGGCAAGTGCATGAGGCAATAACAATAAAACGTATAGGAGGATTGGGATTTTGTTGATGTCTCGATCAAGAATGTTCCCCTTGTATATTTGTAGAAGACGTTCCCCTAGGGCTTCAGCACTGTTAGTGCGAGTTCAGCCCTCCGTCTTTGCACTTGTGGGGACTACCTAATTTTCTATCTTATTCCTTACCTAGTTGCTCTAGTGAAGGTGAAAAGGCCTAGAGTTGAGAGAAATCACAATATCTAAGGGAGGAGTGAGTACAGGAGGCTTTGGAGCCATTGGCTTTTAGGGGAGGGTGGCATGGATTGGTTTTACTATTGGTATGGGTGGTAGCAGAATCGTGAGATGAGGAAACGTTAGTGTGTGAATTGGCAAAATAAAGCAGGGATTTGGTTGGGCTTCCAAGGAGGTTTAGTTAGATTGGCAGGGTGGGTAGTGACAATGATGCAGGAGCATAAAGTTTTAATTATTTGTTTAAGTTTTATTTGAAATCTAAGTTTTAATTTTAGGAAAGTCATTTTTAATTAGGATTAGAATTAGTAGCTTATTAGGAGTTCATAGTTTATTAGAAGGTCAAATTAGAATTGAATTAGGATTCTTGGCTACTATTAGTATATATAGTTATTCTTCTTAGATTTCAAGGACAGTTTTTGTTATGAGATTTTAGTTTGAGAATAAACTTGGGGTTGAAAACCTAGGTTTTCTTTGTTCCATCTTTAATTTTACAAAGTTCTTAGTTTTTGTTTGTTCTACCTCTACCTTCCCTACATCAGACAATGAAGTGGCTTGAAGACAACTGAGTGGTGCCTGACAACAAGAGTTTGTTCTATTGATGCAGGGAAGGTAGGGGTAGAACAAACAGAAACTAAGAACTCTGTAAAATTAAAGATGGAACCAAGAAAACTTAGGTTTTCAACCTCAAGTTTATTCTCAAACTAAAATATCATAACAAAAACTGTTCTTGAAACCTAAGAAAAATAACTATATATACTAACAATAGCTAAGAATCCTAACTCAATTCTAATTTGAACTTCTAATATGCGTTGAACTTCTAATAAGCTACTAATTCTAATCCTAATTAAAAATGACTTTCCTAAAATTAAAACTTAGATTTCAAATAAAACTCAAACTGAATGCAAAACAAACAGCCCTAAAACTAATCATTAAAAAGAGCTCTATGCTCCTGCATCATCTATGAAGCTCTTCCTAGGTGGTGGTTTCTGGTGGGTGTGGTGTATGGAAGCTGTACTGTTTTTGGATGGTTGATTTCAATGGAGAAAGTTTGGGTGGTGGTTGATTTCAATGGAGAAAGTTTGGGTGGTGGTTGATTTTCTGGGCAAGTTCGCTTAGTATCTTATGTCTTATGTGTGGAGATAGATTTAGTTTGAGCTAGAGTCAAGAATCTAAGGTCATCGGGAAGGAGGTGCCTGGCAAGTGTGATTTTGGTCATCAATTTTTAGGATGGCTTTCTCAACTAAGGACATTGTTGCAATTGAATTTTTGTAGAATATGGTGCTTTTGAAACATGAAAAAGGCTTTTGTAGGTGTTTAAGGTCCATCTCAGGGTAAAACAAGAGGGTTTTGATAAGGTGTGCCTGTTCAAAGTTTTTTCTAGAATGGAGGCTGGTGTTGCCATTTGAAGTAGTGGTGAAATAGGATTTATTACTTGTCAATTTAAGCTACCATGGTGTCGGTGTGTTATAGTGGTGTAACTAATGCCAAGAGGTGAGAGAAATAGCTAAAACCATATTTGGGTTTTTATTTTTTCTGTTTCGCTTTCTAGTTGGTTAATACTCAGGCTAGTTTTATTTAAATCAAGATACTAGTTGTAGCAGATGAGAAAATCTATTAGAGTGCTTTGGTGAAGGTAGAGATTCCTTATAATATCCTTCTCTTTTATCAATATAAGGGCATGCCCGATTTCTTTCTCCCAAAAAACAAAATGTTGCCCTTCTCTCTAAGTTTAACAATATTTAATCTTTGCTATTCAAAAAAAAAAGAGGACAAGTTTCATAATTGCAATAATTGATTGCCATAATTGTTGAGAGCACATTTAGTTTGAGGGGAGTAAAGGGAATAAGAGGTTATTTCAATCAATCTAATTTTATCACACACACCATTTAAGGGGGAGTTTTTATGGGAAGGGTGCAAGAAGGATAGAAATATAAATTGGGTTTGTTGGGAGAAGGATTGTAATATTAAAGACTTAGGGTGCATTTAGATTGCAGTTGGGAGCCTTTTTTTATAGCCGTATGGTACTTTTAAATATATGTGTTTGGTAATTTTTTTTCAAACTACTATTTCCAGAAGCTGTAAAAAGTCATAGTAAATTTATAGCAATTTTATATCTAAAGTTAGAAATCTCATTTTGGAGCTTTCTAACTGTAGTTTTCATAGACAACACCTAATATTTAATATAATTATAAAATTACTCATTAAAACCCAATCTCATTTAATTCAATTACATAATCATTTATAATATTTTATTTAACCTTAACTTCTTGCTTATTTGAAGATTTCATAAAAAAATTAAAAACTAGCTCTCTTCTTATGAGTTGCTCTCTTGCGAAACCCAAAAAAACACCAATTATAAAAAACCTAAAAAACCTAACTTATTAAGAAGTAGTGATGTTATCTATTTTAGTAATTATATATCATATAATATTTTTTTAAATTTTAATTAATAATTAATAAAATTTACCATATTTCATCTTTAATATTTTTAAAAAATAAATAACCAACACACTCTCAAGAGACGAGTGTAAAATAATGTGACATGGGGGACTGGGACAATTGATTCTGGTCTTGGAAATTCAACTAGAGAAGGATTCTTTTTTAAATAGACCATGATATGTGCACCCGTTGATTCAACACCTGGCAAAACACATCCTATTTAAATTATGCTTTTGATTGATCTGGGATAAGAGGCCGAAATACCTTAGCCAATAGCCATTCATTTAACCATAGTGCATTCTCGTTTCCAAACAAACTGCAAGAAGAAATTTTATTGTCGAGTAGTAGACAACAATATCACCATCCCCTTTGCCTCTTTGTATTTCATTAATCTGTTAGAAAATAGTAATGTGGGAGAAGTAGATCCAGTTGAGAGTAGGCATTTGCTTAGAACACGTAGTCCCAATCTTTGTCATGCCCTTAGCAACATTTTTGAGACATCCCGAATGAGAGCATCCATTTTAGATTACTTTAATCATGTCACCTTTGATGTTACTGATGAACTCAAAATCCCCACTTACTATTTCTTCCTCTCTTCCACTATATGTCTTGTATTTTTCCTCTACTTGCCCACCTTTCATCACATTACCATTGAAAATTTCAAAGACGTTAATAAACTACTAGAAATTTCCAGTTGGTCATCATTCTCAGTTTTTGAAATTCTAGGATGCTAGAGATGGGGCTTGGTTTCACTCGATTGAGTTCCCAGAAACTATGACTGTGGCAGATAGGCTATTTCCTCAACTGACAAGGGTGGGCAGATTAAGTGTAGGTTCTACAAGGGGTCACCGGTGTAGTTCTTAGATGGAAGCTGGACGGAGGTAAAGGCAATTGGCTATTAATGGGGCTTGGTTTCACTCAATTGGGTTGATTTCCACCACAATGACCTTCAGATTCCCTTCAAGGTGACCTTTTAGGACTTGCATTTGATTAGAATGAAGGCGTGGAAGAATCTTCAGTTCACTGGAGGAGCATTTCCTTCTATGTCAGCATGCCGGATCTAACCAATTGATTTTCTTCTGGACAATGCTAGGATAAGCTTTATCTCTAATTTATATTTAGTTATTTCATTGAATC